TAGTCTGACACTATCTTGTTTTTTTATGTATCTTATATATAAATATATATATCATATTATTTAACTCAACTTAGAAACTAGTTGCTATTATTTCTATTTATTTATGCATTTATTTATTTGGTACCAGGAATCGAACTCATGACCTCACACTTGCCAGATAGGCACCGTGCCACTGAGTTATATCCCCAGCCCAGCTGCTATTATTATAAAGGAAAAGAACAACACACAGGTTAGAGTAGCCACTGGGAGGGATCACATGGAGTGTAATTTTCCTCAGAGATGTCCCACCAAGATGCACCCCAGAGATCTGGGGTGTGTGTGTGTGTGTGTGTGTGTGTGTGTGTGTGCATGTGTGTGTGTCTATGTGCATCAGGGGGGACAGGGGAATACTGAGGATTGAACCAGGGCACCCTGCTCCTTTAAAACTTTTTATGTTGAGACAAGGTTTCCCTAAGTTGCCCAAGCTAGGGTCAAACCTGCCATCCTCCTGCCTCAGGCTCCCAAAGCGCTGGGGCTACAGGTGAGCAGGCGCATGCCCCGCTTTGGTCCTTCTGGACCTGGGGGTACGATCAGTTCTACTTACATTAGGCAGCCGGTAGAAAAAGTGTCCCACCTTCACCATCAGAAGCAGCATCACACCTGCGCCTACCAGAGATGCAAACTGAGGAGACAGGGCAGGTTGGGGAGAAACTGTCAGAACAAAAGTGGTCCCCGTCCGCAACTGAGGCCTTCGCCTGCTGCGAAGCAGGCCATGTTTCTTCAAAGGCATTGGGCTCAGCCTACCTGTGTTTTTTGCTGAGCTGACACTTTCAGGTCTTATCAGTGTGCTAAACACATAGTAGGTCCTCAGTATCTGTTGAATGAATGCATGAATGTGCCCTGAAAAGCTCCAGGTTCTCCTGGACGTCTGAATCCTTCCTGCCACAGCTCTGTGCTATGAATCTGGTCTCCTAAAGTGGGACTCGCACTCCTTGGAAACTTCCACCTCTCCTCCAAGGATGCACAGAACTTCCAGGGGGTCCTCACTGACGGTTCTAACATCCCACCCATTTTACCTCCCATGTAAATAAATATCCCACCAGTCACGGTCCCATGTGGGGCTCGGACGACTTCCCGGGCACAGGTCAGTGTTTCCTCCCCCACGAGCCTCAGTGATACCAACCTCCCAAGTGCTTCTCCTTTCATTTCTTCCTGCTTTGGTGCAGTCAGAAAAGCTACCTGGGCTGGGGCTGTAGCTCAACATCAGAAAGTTTGCTTGGGTTTTATCTTCAGCACCACAACACGCAAACACACAAAATGAAACACCTTTTAAAAGCCAAATATGAGCTAAGGGCGTGTATAGCAGTTCGGATCTTATCCCAGCCGGGCCTGCTACTCTGGGCTTGGTGTCATCTTGCAGGCAGTGATTCTCATTGGACAAAGAAAGCTAAGAAACAGAGGCCCCTTTATTATAATCCCAAGGCTCTCTGGACATAGTCTGGATTTATTATGTCCACCACAGGTAGGTCAAGTTCTGCACTGTAAGCCCCTAGCAATAAGCATAATGCAAAGCAGCGTCATTTTCCACAGTAATGGGGTAGAACAGTAACCACAGATTGGAACAGTGGCATAGTTGAGCAAGAGCTCAGAAAGCCGCAACAGCAAGCCTGGCGTACACTGTGGAACTAGAAGAGGTAACTTGGCCCACGAGCCCTCAGCGCTAGAGCCTCAGAGAGCAAAAATAATTCACCCTCAGTCACCTACACACCTCCTCGGCCACCCTGACCCTCAGACTCTGCTATCCAGGTTCTCTCCACTGCTGCGTTGCCTGCTGTATAAAGCACCACACATTTCTCTTATTATAACTCATTTTAAAGCCACTCTGTGAGCCTGAGGAGGAGGCAAGAGGGCCAGTCCTTGGAAAGCACAGAATGAGAACATGTACCCAACTGCGCTTCGCAGCCGTCAGCATAGGATGAGCAGGAAGAAGCCAGGGACAGAGCAGCCAGCCACAGGCCTACGGCTTGTCACACTCCCTCAGCCAGGGCTGGATCTGCCCCACCTCAGGCTGAGCCCGTGGTGACAAGGGTCACTAAATTTTGCTTTTTGTTGGGACCAGTGGAGGGAAATGGGCTCTGGACTGGGAAATGGTGGAAGTGGAATCCAGCAGGTACACAAGGTTCACAATCACGCCACATCAAAGAAAGTACAAGTGACTTCTAGTGCAGCCTGGCATCTTGACAGCCCAGATGGGACTGGGCCAGAGATTTGTACTGGGCCTTTCAGGGTCTTGGGAAGGGCTTTCTGGTATCGGGGGACCATGGCTTCCCAGGCAGAGCCACTGCAGTGCAGTGCAGGAAACGTACTGTACTATATGGCAAAGTAGTGGCAGACAGGTCCTCCCTGCGGCACAGACCACGGGCTGGCACAGAGGTCGGGCACCACACTGCCCACCTCTGTGGGGACCCAGCTGAAGCCTGTCCTGTGTTCCCTGCCAGTGTGGGCTGCGCAGCTCTTCCTCTCCGGCCACTTGGAGGGGAACAGCAGCCTGCCGGCAGGACAACCCCAAGGCCCACCCACAGGCCTCCTTTCCCTTCCGCCCACCCCACCCTGCCCCACCCGAAGCCCTCTCTGACACGCTCACCAGCCCCTCCTCCTTCTCACAATATTATGGCACTTTTTGCTCACTGCTCTCATTCTCTGCTCAATCCTCCTTGCACTGATTTAAATGTCATCAACGGTGCTTCGCGGCTTCCCCAGTTTAGGCCGCATACTGAATAAGCAACGACGGCTTAGCATAAAAAGTTAGCAGAACTAATTTCTGGAATTGCCATTTCTGTGTATCATAAGATATTCTTAATTTTGATTTAAAATTTTTACATATTTGTAAAGAACATTCATTTATTCTGTTTGTCTCTCTCTTTTCCCCTGATTCCAGGAATTGAACCCAGAACCTTTGCACTGAGCCTCTTTTGTTTTTTATTTTGAGACTGGTTCTTGCTAAGTGGCTAACCTGCCACACTGAGTTTAAATTTGTGACCCTCCTGCCTCAACCTCCCAGGGGATTGGGATTACAGGTGTGTGTCACTGCACCTGGCCACACCTTCCTTTTAGCATTGCCCTCTCTGGTACAGGGCCTCACTACACAGCTTGGACTAGTAGTGATCCTCCTGTTTCAGCCTCCCCAGTGCTGGGATTACAGGTGTGCACCACCATGCTGGCTTCAGTGGCTGGCACGGCATGCGGTACCGGGGATCAAACGCGCATCCTTGCACTTGCCAAGCAGGCACTTAAGACCACTGAGCTATCTCCACTGCTCTCTCAAGCAGGTGTGGAAAGGCCACTGTGACAACAAAACTCGTCCCTGTAAAATGACAGATCTTACTGAAGACCTTCACTCCTGGGCCAGGAAGATGGCTCAGTGGAATAAGCGCTTCCCTGGCAAGTGCAAGGACCTGAGTTCAATCCCTGGTTCTGAAAAAAAAAAAAAAAAAAAAAAAAAAAATCTATTAAAAAAAAAGATCTTCACTCCTAATCTTGGCTCGCACCACCAAACCCAGCCTCAGTCACTGGCTCAGTGTGCCCTGGGGGCGGGGCCGGCTGGGCACATGGAGGATCAAACCCCAGCCACTGCACTCTGCCTAAGCAGGCGCTTTAATCCGCCGAGCTGTCTGCCGGCCCTTATGCCTCATCTTTCCGACTTCCCTTGGCTGTCATCTTCTGTGGCGCTTCACACTTGCCCCACGGCTGCAACACCTGTCTCCCCCATGAAAACTGAGTGTGCAGTCTTCTGACGTAGCCCTTTCTCCCTGTGCTTCTGTGGCCCTGGTAGCCTCCTCTGCCACCGTGGGCCACCTGCACCGACTCACCCCCTGGTCCTGCTGTGTGGCTGACACAGGAGCCTTCTCAGCGTATCTTGTGCTCTGTTTTAGTGAGCCAGTTCAAAACTTGTAAACACTGAATTCTGTGCTGAATGTATTCATTACACTGTACTAATAAACAGAAACAAAATCTCACGCCTGCCATTAGGCAGGACTTGTCTTCAGAGCCTTCTCTATCACTATTCTTTCTCCCTTGGACGTGCATCGTGCATGTCACTTATTAAGCATTTACTGATGAATTCAGGGTACCTGAAGAGAATCTGACCCTGGCTATTTCACAGCGACGGTTTTAAGTTCCTAAGACGCTCCTAGCTGAGCCGCTGACCCATCCCAAGGAAGGCCCCTGTCCAGCCCGGCCTTGGGGAAGCCGGCAAAAGGTTCACTTTGCAGGCAGGGGGAGGAGTACAGTCCTCCATTCCCAGGCTGCGTATGAGCTGCATATCCCCAGAGGGAAAAAATGAAGCAAAACAACAACAAAAACTCAACCGAAGCTGTTGATATGAAACACTCTTCTTCAAGTCTGCAAAGTGGGTTTCTACGAGGGAACATATGGAACGCTTTCACATACAACAAAACATCCAAGGCTGGGCGTGGTGGCGCACGCCTGTAACCCCAGCACTCGGGAGGCTGAGGCAAGAGGATTACTGCGAGTTCAAGGCCAGCCTGGATTACAAAGTGAGTTCAAAGGTGGCCTGAACTGCATAGTGAAACCCTGTTTTGAGAAAGAAAAAAAAGAAATTTATTTATTACATCGGAACAATATATCGATGGTAAATAAATTTCAAGTTCCAAACTGACTAGTAACTTTTTGTTGTTGTCTTTTCTGAGACAGGATCTCACCAGGCAGCTCAGGCTGGCTTTGAGCTCACTTTGTAGGCCAGGCTAGTCTCAAACTCGTAACAATCCTCCTGCCTCAGCCCTCCTGAGTGCTGGGATTACAGGCTTGTGCCATCACACCTGGCTCCTGACCAGTAACTTTTAAGATAAAATCTGAATCAAAATTAAAGCAAATGTGGAATCATTCGATATAAGAAGTCTTCCCCGTTACACACAACATAAAACAAGATTAAGCCCTTCTGCCCCACCGCAAACACACCTCTGAAATATCATACATTTCCTCATATTAGAGGGCAAATTCCTTTTCAACATACCTGTTGTCTTCCTCCGGATTTGTCTTGGATGATAGTCCCGGCAATTGCACCAGTGAACACGTAGGAGCTGAAACAGGAGCTGATGACATTGGTGAGGCCGATGGCTATTAAATCCTGCGAAGAAATGCAGACACCTGATGCCCGCGTTTTGTTAAAGAACGTTAATTTGATTTTGAGCTAAAAAACCTGTTATTTCTAGTGTACGAAGATTGCATTGTTTTTATCACTTCCAACAGTGGACTGCAATATACTTAGAATCAAAGGATGGTGAGGGATAGGCTACGGCCCGGTACAGACTGCTAAATTACCATGGCCCGGATTCAAACTGAATCCTCTTCCCAGGGACACCTCCTCCTCCTCCTCCCCGACTCCAGCCCTGGGCACAACTTCCTTTTCCCTTTCCCGCCCACACAGGTGAGCCTCCAGTCAGCTCCTTGTGCGTCCTGAACCGGCCCCTCAAACTGCGCCCCCAGCCAAAGTCCTAAAGTCTGAGGCGCCCTGCCTCAGGTAGGAGGATCTGCCCATCTCCCTGTCTTCCTGTCCGTGTCTTCAGACTTAATAAAGCCCCCCACGGCCATTTCTGCTTCTCTGCTGCGCCGCCACTGCCGCTGCCATGCTGCTGCCACTAAGACCTATCAGCAAGTCCAATGATCCGGATTAAACCGAGTCTCTGCTACCTGGAGATCGCAAGGAACACACTTTCTCAAGATGGTAGAACGAGGCTGCTGCACTTCCACGAGCGCCTGGCTGAGCCTGCTGGGGAGCCTGGGGGGCTCCTCTTCCTCATTTCTGAACTCTCCTAATGGTCAAGCTAGGCCTTCCTGCCTTCGTATCTCCCTTCCAGTCCAGGGAAAGCACTAAACAGAGTAGTTGAGTATTATGAAAACATAATAGCAAAGACCAAAGGACTAAAAGGCCAACTTAATTATACATACCAGTACCCTGGCTTTTTATATGATACTGACAGCATTTCTTTTCTCTCTCTTTTTTCAGTACTGGGGATCGAACTCAGGACCTTGTGCTTGCCAAGCAGAAATGCCACTGAGCTATCTCGCCAGCACACAGCATTTCTTATTATGCATCAGTATGTGGTTGACTTCCAAGCACGGGGCAGAAAGATACAACTGAGAAGATCTCTGCTGCCTCAGCATGGTGCCATAGATTATGTTCTTGCCTGTCTGCACCATATCTTTTGTAGGGGAAAGACCCTGTTAATTCTGGTGGCTTCAAAGTTAAGTATCCTTCACCTCTGGAAAATCCTTTTGTGCAAACAGGGCAGTACACGGTCCAGGCACCCTCAGGTGAAAGAATCTGGCCTTCATGTTGCAGGAGATTGAGAGAGGGAACAGAAATTTAGAAGTCAGAAGAAAACAACAGTCCTCTAGCTGGGCCTGGTGGTACATGCCTATAATCCCAGCACTCCAGAGGCTGAGGCAGGAGGAGCGCCATGAGTTTGAAGCCAGCCTGGGCTACAAAGTGAGTTCAAGGTCAGCCTGAGTTACATAGTGAGACCTTATCTCAAAAAAAAGGAAAAGGATGAACCTCTCACCTGATTGGAATTGACTCTGTAGTTATGGAAACTGGCAATCCTCTTGCCCAGAAATATAAGCAGAAAGGAACTCACTAAAGACAGAGACATGGACTGTAAAACAACATTGTGGACAAGGCTGAAATCTGGCAATGAAGGAAACACGAAGCTGGAATGAAAGAGTACGATTAGGGGCTGGTGAGATGGCTCAGTGGTCTAAAGCACCTACTTAGTACAAGCTAAACTAAGCAAAAACACAGGGACCGCGGTTCAATCCCCCAGCACCACATGCCAGCCAGCCCCGCCCCCCTGGTGGGCTGAGCTGGCCATACACACACACCCACACACACCCACACATGCAATAAATAAATAAATAAATATTTAAAAAAAAAAAGAGTACGATTATTCTTGGGGAGGCGGAGCTTTGCCTTGGCACCTCCCCCTTGCCCTCCTTACATCCCAGCAAGCTCCACGCCGTCCCTCTAGTTTTTCTTGCAGTCCCGGAGAGTGAACCCAGGGTTCTGCACAGGTTAGGCAAATGCTCTACCACTGAACTATCCTCCCCACCCTGCCCTTGTTATTTTACTTGGAGAAGGGTCTCTCTGGGTTCCCCAGGATGCCTAGAACTTATGATCATCCTGCCTCAGCCACCAGAATAGCTGGAATTACAAGCATTCAATAAAAGACAATTAGAGCAACCAAGGCAGCAGCTCGCCAGAACTACCAGCAAACCAAGCCAAGTTACAAAAGCCTCAGAAAGAACATATTGCTTTGCACCTTCTGCCCTGCAGCAATGGTAAGCAACAGGACAAGGATTTGTGGAAATATTTTCTTGACAATCTGATCATCTTGGTGGGTCAAGTCCAGGCAGAGAGCACATCTAGAATGTTGTAGGGGGCTGGCAAGATAGCTCAGCAGACTAAACTACCTACCCAGGCAAGTTTACGCAAGCGTAGAGACCCAGGTTCGATCCCCAACACCATATGCAGCGCCAGCCCTGGCCCCAAGGTGGGCTGACTGACCACCAAAAAAAAAAAAAAAAAAAAAAAAAAAAAAAATAAAATAAGGGGGGCTGGGGAGATGGCTCAGTGGAATAAGTGCTT